AAATACTGTTTTCTCAAAAACTAAAAGTTATTTTTCAAAACGGGATGGTTCATTGGAAAGAGGACACTTTTATTAACACTTTGGGAAATTTTCATACTCATATCCTAAGAAATGGATTTTATACGAATTTTTCAAACTTAATCGGCGAAAATTGCAATTTTGGCAATGGCAAACTTCATTTGCTACCTGTAGCTAAAAATCAAATAACGCCACAGCTTCAACACTGCCATCCTAATCGTAGCTATCCTTTCTTGCATCTTTAAACTGTTGAAGAAGGAATTGCAAAAAAAACTTAATACTCAAAGAAGCTTTCTGATGTCATCCAACCATTTTCTGTTTTGCCAATACTCCATCAGATTAGAGCTGCTGCCACTAAACTTGCAGGAAGTCAAACTGCCAGCATGCATTGACCGGAAATAAAGTTGTCAAATTTATTATATTAAATTTATTATATATTGCAAGTTATATGAAATTCTCGGTATGTTTTTAAATATCTAAAAATGGTTTCAAACATTCACAGGAAACGCATCTCTTCAAATCGTAAACAATCCCAAAGCGATACAATAACCCCGCAAAGTCCGATTATAATTAGTTTTAAACACATGGACGCAAACGTCGTCGCCGAAGAACCAACATGGAAGAAGAAGAAGAAGTATATCAGAAGAGGAGGGCGAAAGCTCTCTTTTGGTCGTCAGCTTGTTTATCTTTTCTGATAATTTTACCACGTTCACATGTAAATTGTGTTTATGTCTGCGTGTCTTTTCGTTCAACTTTAAAACTACCACTCAGCATGTGTTACAACGACAGATTTAAAAACACCAAGAAAATATTCGAAGAAAAAAAAATTAAAAGCTTGTTTAGGTGTCTTTATTTACGAATAGTAGTGGAAAACCAGGAATCGATTTCTAAAACTACACTTTCACCTTAGAAGAACGACATTAACAATTTTAATTCAAAAATAAAAAATGTTTTAATCGTATGTTGTTGGAAACATACAAGGAAACCTTTGGAAACATCGGAACCTGGCTGGAGAAGCTGGAAAAGAGTGGGAGATGGAGACATCGTGTTGGGCAGTGTGTCACAATTGGAGCATGAAAAAATCTGGCCCGATTTGAGAAAATAGAAGATAGCCAGAAAAATATTACCTAATGTCTAACGAGACACAACAACGAGATATACAAAGAGGTTCCTTGATAACGCAGATAAAAAAAGGATGTACAAAATTGTCTAAAATGATCAAAATTTGTCTAAAATGACTAAAATTTGTCTAAAATGACCAAAATTTGTCTAAAACGACCTAAATTTAGCAAAAGTTTACAAAACTGGATAAGATAATTAAAATGAGTTTAAAATTATTAAAAAAAAGCTTGTACAAAATTGTCTAAAATTATCAAAATTTGTCTAAAATGACTAAAATATGTCTAAAATGACAAAAATTTGTCTAAAACGACCTAAATTTAGCAAAAGTTTACAAAACCGGATAAGATAATTAAAATGAGTTTAAAATTATTAAAACAAAGCTTGTACAAAATTGTCTAAAATGCCGAAAATTTGTCTAATGTGATCAAGATTAGTCGAAAATGATTTAAATTTGCTTAATCTTATAAAAAAATAGACAAAATATGTTCAAATATAAAATTGAAAAGATTAATTTTGAATTTTGAGTGAAAGTACAAGGGCGGGTTTACATTGAAAACCTTAAATTAGTAACGCCACGTAAATAAATCACGGGGAGGTACAAAATAACGAAATATGTACCACCTAAAACGAGATGGAACGAGAAATAAAGCGAGAACACCTCTAAAACAGCTCTCGGCAAGATTATATTTTAATATGTAATTTGGAGCGACGCCGAAGCCGACGACGACGTCGAAAACGACGCGCAACGTCGAGTTTTCCCGATTATAAATAGGCGTTTAGCGATCACTTTAAAAATTATTAAACGAAATAAAACAAATAAATTTTAAATAAATATATAGGTGGGTAATAAATTAATTTTAGATCAGATTTTTCAGTCTCTATAAATTAAATTCTTAACGTTTTACGATCGGTTAAAGTCGTTCTTAACTATGCATTGGTGTAAATTAAAACGACGACGATTTTACGCTTAATTCGGACTTGGTGATGTCAACTTTATTATGTTTGAAGGCTTTTCTCGGGGATCACAAAATGAATTAAACCGGAAAATTGGCGTTAAACCGGATGAAATTGTTATTAATTAATATTTTTTTTAAA